CGAAACGTTGTATTGGGTAGATGAAAATGTCAAATTGGGTGTGTGGGACGCATGCGGTCGGTGGCACTGGGGGCTTCGGTGGAGCTCCCTATGGGACCACGAAACGCTGCATTGGGTGGGTGGGAATGCCACATTGATTTTTGGGACGCATGCGGACGGTGGCACTGGGGGCTTCGGTGGCGCTCCCTATGGGGCCACGACGCGCTGTATTGGGTAGGTGAAAATGCCAAATTGAGTGTGTGGGGCGCATGCGGGGGGGGGGGTCGGCGGAGCTCCCTATGGGGCCACGAAGCGCTGTATTGGGTGGGTGGGAATGCCAAATTGGGTTTGTGGGACGCATGCGGTCGGTGGCATTGGGGGCTTCGGTGGAGCTCCCTATGGGACCACGAAACGCTGCAATGGGTGGGTGGGAATGCCACATTGGGTTTTTGGGACGCATGCGGACGGTGGCCACTGGGGCTTCGGGGTGGAGCTCCCTATGGGGCCACGACGCGCTGTATTGGGTAGGTGAAAATGCCAAATTGAGTGTGTGGGGCGCATGCGGGGGGGGGGGTCGGCGGAGCTCCCTATGGGGCCACGAAGCGCTGTATTGGGTGGGTGGGAATGCCAAATTGGGTTTGTGGGACGCATGCGGTCGGTGGCATTGGGGGCTTCGGTGGAGCTCCCTATGGGACCACGAAACGCTGCAATGGGTGGGTGGGAATGCCACATTGGGTTTTTGGGACGCATGCGGACGGTGGCACTGGGGGCTTCGGTGGAGCTCCCTATGGGGCCACGAAACGTTGTACTGGGTGGGTGAAACGCAGGGAGGAGGGGGAGGAAGGAAGGAGGGAGGAACGCGGGGATCGTCTCTTCAAAACGAGAACCCAACACCACAGGATAGTTGGGAAATAGTCTGGGGACGATGTTTTGTTTAGTTTTGAATATGTTTGAGCATTGTTGGCTTTTTTATTGCTCATCCAAAATCGCCTTGTAGGAGGACATGCCCGACCGAAAGGTAGCAGCCCGCTCTCACACTGTGGGCGGCGCGGCTCGCGCCCCCGACGCAGGCCCCCTGCCCTGGACGTCTGCTTGGGGGGACCTTCCTGGTGGCCACCTGACGGATATGTTCGACGCAAGTCTGACCCGAGAAGCCGACAGACGTTCGACGCGGCATCGACGCACGAGTGGATCGAGTCGCTCCAGGAAGGTCCACAGGACGAGCACATGACTTGCCCCAGGGTCTGGCCCTGCCAGGTGAATTCGTGGAGGCGGCATCCTCAAGCCCAGGCCTGCTGGCGCCGCGAGAGGCCATCGTGACAGAGGGCGCCGGGGGGCTGTTTCTCGGCTGCTCGGGGGCCCGTACCAGGCCCCGGGGACCGCCAAGATGCGGCTTGGAATGAGAAGGTGGTCCACGAAAGCATCGTGCGACCGCAGCTTTGTTCTTCAAGATCTTGACAAGCGGCATGGTGCCGCGACAGCCCGAGCAGTGCAGAAAAGTGTTGATGGTCACGGCTCTCGGTCAGACTCGTCCCGCAATCGATCGGGAGGTGGTCCAGACTTCTGGGCGTCCAAGCTGTGGCAGAGATCAGGGCGGGGGAGGTCTGGGAGCCCCTGGTTCGTTGGCATCGCTCGGACGTGCGCGTTTTGCTCGGGGAGGCCAGCGACAGGAAAGCTGGACCATCGAGGGGCCTCTTCGATCATCTTGCGAAACAGAAACGCGAAACCTAAAAGATGCACAGGGAATGAACGTCCGAGCGATAACAAGATCCAGATCTCGCCCTCCTGCTGAAGTTGGAGCCCTTTGTCCACCATTCTACGCAGAGTGCACCTGTACACCACCATGCCTGGCCAGGGTCATCCTGGGCCCTGGCGTGTTGTGTACCCTCCAGGCCGAGTCCAGGAGGATCTATACACCCTCTGGGCACAGGATGCCCATGTGGTGTACAATGCACTATCTGGGCCCAGGATGCCCATGTGGTGTACAGAGTGAGTGGAGCCGCCTGGGGGTCTGAGGTGGCCCAGCATTAGTGGTTCCGGCCAGCAAGGAGGGCGCGGGTCAGAGCTTCTGGGTTCGGGGTTCGGGAAGTTTGCTTGCTTTTTTCGGCCTTCGGGTGCCGTTTGCGGGCTCCGCGACCGTCGAAAGAGATCCGAGGTGAAAAATTGTACTAGATGGATTCTCGGAGGGGTCTGGGGACCGATTTTGACCAGATTTAGCCTCACACCCCCCCCCGCTCCTGACAGATGTTTTAGGGTCCCGACCAGTCCCGACCCCCGGGCTGGCTCCAATGTACAGATGCCTTCTGCCAGGCGAGCGCGAGGTCGGGAGCGCCCCGTTTCCGCGCGAGCCCGAAGAGGCGCGCCAGGTCGTCGTTGCCGCATCGCCGACGGCACCGCCGCCAGGGCTTGGGGCGGGGAGGGATCCTGGGAGACTGTTGCTGTCGTCGTGATCAGGGGAACAAAAAGTGGCATAAACATAAAGATTAGGAGGTCCGCGCGGATTTCTCGGATCGGCGCTGGA